AAAAAACACCAATGTGCGCACATTTAAGTTCATCCTCAGTCTGTCATTTTGTTCAACCCTGAACTAGTTCCGAGACATTAGGCAGTGTGACAATTTTACAACACCCCATGTCAAATGCCCAACAAGTAATGGTAAAAGTAAAATGGTAAATCCTCACCACCAAAAGGGTAAAATGAATGGAAAAGAAAAAAACATTAGCTCAACTTGGCCATAACTTTAAGTTTTACATCAGCATCGATTAGTAAACGTATTTTAAGTGAGCAAGACCCACAAGGAAGGACGACAGATGCCGGTAAAGACGAGTTTGCTGGATATAAAGAAATTTCACCACCATTGCTCGTCAAAGGATATCCCATTTCCGCCAGCTCAGACGAATCAATCAAGAACAAATCCCCACACCTGCAGTAATATGATAGTTCGAAATAGCCACCAAAATCTTCAACAGCCATTTCATCGAAGCTGACATCATCGGCATCCAGTCTCGATTTCCTGAGTTCATTGTCATAAAGGGCGCGGGACACTGGGTCACCAAGGACTTCCCAGGCCCTCTGCACTTTTAAAAACTGATTGTTCGACTCATGCTCAGATTTGTGCAGTTTATCTGGGTGATGATTGAGAATGGCGGCTCTGTAATTTTTACGGATTTCTTCTTGCCCAGCATCTTCATCGACACCGATTATCTCGTAATGGGTTTTAGAGATTAAGTTGTTGCTAAGTATCATGCCTGTTAGGTAGCGAATTGGAGCACACGCGAATTTCAACAGAAAAAGAAGCTCAAATGTTAAAAATGAATCAAGCATATAGCTGAACTCGAATTTTCTTAACAGTGCAGAATATTTAGCTTCGTATATATACAGATGAAAAGATAATAGATTTCTGAACACCTTGTTTTTGAAGAATTAAACAGCAACACAAGATATATCGTAACTCAAATGCTTGAAAACAAAAGTAACACAAAAGACTTGTCCTGAAAGATGAGTAATTGTCTGTAATTTTGGCAGTGTTCCATGCACTCGGAGTTGGGATTATGTGCTTTACCCAATAATTCATTAGCTGCGCATGGATTTAATACTTTCAGCCTTCATGGAAATGGTTGAGAGACTATGATAGTTACATATAGAGGTCCGAGAAAATAATCAAATCAGTAACCACCAGATATCAATTCTTCACAGCCTTCATTAATGTCGTCAGCCAGCATTCATGAAACGTTTTTACTATCTAAACATCTATCTGAAAAGTTACAGCCAACACAATAGTGTTTCTGCTAAATGAAACATGATCACTGATTCACTTTACCATTCCAAAGACTGCTCTTTCTAGGATTGAGAAACAAAGATCTAGCAAAAGTCAAGGCTGCTCATTCTAGAACACAACAATTGTATCGAGGAAAAAAGAAGAAAATTCACAAAGTCATAACGAAAGCAGCTTACAAATCAATTAGATTAAATGCCACAATCAAATATCTTTTGAAATGGGAAATAAAGAAAACTACAACAGTTTATCATTTCTAATACCTCTCAACCACTCTATCACATAGTAATTTGCTAATGTCACTTTATTCCTCTTATTAGTTTTATAAGATCATAACAAACCGAAAAGTTCACCTTTTGATATTTTTCTCCATGATAGTATTGAAGTAGATGTTGAACTGAGGCAGAAGATCTCCAATTAAGACTCCAAACACAAACTGTTGTGTATTTATAGCATAACATTTCCAATAAAATAGAATGTTGGGCGATTCTTGCACCTACAGAGATCCAAGACAGCAAAGCTACTAATTTTGTGAAGATACCAACAAACAACCAAGGACGAAAATAGCCCAAAGGCTGCCACACAGTCGGAAATCTGGACAACTACAACACAGATTCAAGGATATGCTTGCCTTCTATTAAGTGTCCTGTCCCTTACTTTGATAATTCACCCAATACTAGTCCGTAAAAAGTAAAAAGCACACATATTAACCCATGGACTATAACAATAAGCCCCATCAATTCCTTCAATTCAACCAAAGCCAGTGCCAAAAGAAGCCATCCATACAATTTCACAAATCATTAATTAAATGAAACATGCTTCCATTCACTTAAAAAAAAAAAACAAGAAAGAAAAGAACGAAAACAGATCAAAAAACGGATAATATTGAAACATCATACCAGAAATAGGGAGCATTACTTTAATTCAACTACGGTAAAATGTAAGTATATGAATTTTCCTTAAGGAACCCGGGTACCTTTAATAGTTCTTAATTAAGAGGATCACTAGGATCAGCAGAATATGCACCAAAATAGGTCTCCACTCCACAGTTTTTAAACTGAAAGACAAGGTTTCACGCCGGTCCTCGGAGGTAGGCGACCACCACACAGTGGTGGCTCCACCAAAAAAATATAAAAAATAGGTCTGGGTAGCAGTCAAAGGAGATCAAATAGATAGAACGACGGCCCGTAAAAGAGAGAAGAAAAACGACAGTCCTTGAAAAGGCGTGTCAATGCCGGCGGATTGTGGAGATTTTTGGTCGATATCTGCATAAAAGAACACTTTCTTTTGGCCCTTATGTTTTTTTTGTTTTCATTGTATAATCCTCATGTTTCTGTCATAATATCTAGATGATGGAATGCTGTGTAAAGTTGTTTTGCCTATCCAACTAGACCCTTTAGAGCATCTCCAGTGTTGTATGTTGTTGTGGTGAAAAATATGCCACCTAATCAATAATTAAATATCTATCCATATTTTGTCTTCCAATGATAAGAGCATCTCCAGTGTTGTATGTTGTTGTGGTGAAAAATATGCCACCTAATCAATAATTAAATATCTATCCATATTTTGTCTTCCAATGATAATATAAAAGATAAATGTTGTGATGAGTTGGCAATAGTTAACTTCCACACTGTGATAGAGACTGTAGAATATCTACAGCCTTCTCCACAGGATGACTCGTCAAATTTCAGGAGAAGAGGCAAATAAAATTCTCAAAATCTGTCAAAAATCCGGAGGGAAAAATTGGCGGGCATCCAAATCGTGAAACTAGAAAACATTGCAAATTCTTCTTCTCGTACAGTTGATCCAAGAAATACTTTGCTGTAAATTACAATTGCCAATTCAACAAAAACTTTCAGGTACGCGAGCCACTATTTTTCTTGATTGTGTCTGATTCACTTTCATTTTTACTTTTCACGGATGATATTGTTAAATTATTGTAGGATTTGGTTTATTTGAACTGAATTTAGTTCAATGAAAATGCTTAAATATATATATATGTGTGAGTTTTATACAATAGTCAGTGTTCGTGGAAGCCCAGCTCACCATTCTTGAGTCAATTTTTTTTTTTTCTGGGTTTCTTGAAATCTTTCTAGGTACTCTGTCTGTAACCTTTTCCATTTTGGTGCCAATTTTGCAAAATTGAGCCTTTTTGTTTTCTTTCTTTTGTCATTTATGATTGCGAATGGAAATATAATTTTGTGTGAGTTTTTTGTTACACTCAGTTCTTGTCTGAGCTTGTGTTTATTGTTTTTCCCACATTCTGTTGTGTTTAGTGTTTTCCCATTCTTTGTGTTTTTTTCATGTATGAAATTGATTTTGATTGTTAAGGGTTGTCAGTTTTAGTGCTAGTGTCAACAAAATGAACATCTTACTAGAAACTAACACTGACTAAATTAAAAAAATAGCAAAAAAATTTTACCCATACAACAATTCTTATCAATGTTATTTCGAAATGATTGAACAAAGTTATTGAAAGAAGGTGTTATACATAAGAAGCTTATTCTTCAAATCAGTATGGTTAACCTCCAAACACTAGAGATATGCCATTCATCTTTGTGGTTTTGATAAGATGAAACTGAGAGGAAGTATTTAAGGTGAGAAAAGAGATAGGTAAAGAGATTTGATTTTATTGCTATTAGAATAGTATTCAGATTCCTTCATTCATAACCTATTTTGTTTTTATTTTTTCTTATGCAGAAACTAAATTAGTGTATTTTGTTTATTCATAAGTTTCAAATTTGATTCATTGATAACCATAGATTTGATAAATTAGTGTGTTTTGTTTATGCATAAGTTTCAAATTTGTTTCATTGATGACCATAGACTTTGACTTTTTGTTGTTGATTTGTTTGAGATTTCAATGACCAAGTCCTTAATTCATGAGAGATTATGAGTTTCNAATTCCTTGGTTAAGCTTCAGGCTAATCAATTAGATATTGTAAGAGATTGGAAATTGCTAGTCCAAATTTCAACAACACCAAATTTGTAAGCTAGGTGAAACTAATGTGGTAAAGTAGATTAACTTACCCTGTAGGAGGAAAAAAAAAATCAAACTGAGATACATGAGCATGGATGAAACTGAAAAAAGAGGTAAATGCCTGCAACTGAAATACTTCACCTCACTTTCATCCATAATCAGTTTCACATTAACTAAACATAAATATAAATACGAGGTACATGAAATAGGAATTAGTAATCAAGCCTGTAACAATTTCTGTGTGTGGAAACACTGCATTATGTTTCAAGCAAATGTAAAATTATCTAACTGAAGCAACTGACTTGCCTTTGCAAGCAACTAGCATGAGAAATTTTTGGTGTCTGCAAGGTGAGCATTGCACAGCCAGATTGTTTGATTATTCTCTAGTGGCCTTCCATATTTTGTTTTCTAGTTTGCGTGCTAATTACATCCTCAAGCTTTATGTTTTAATTAATTCTCAACTCAATTTTGAATGGTGAAGCTTGGTTCATTAATATGTTTCTTTCACTTGATAGCAAGTTCTGTGTGATTTTCAGTTAGTGGAAGCAGTTTGTTCTTAACTGAACAGGAATCTAAAGCAAACACCATAGCTTGTGTTCTTAACTGTTCATTTTAGCTTGATAGCATACCTGGATGTAACTATTTTTATTTCATTAATATTTTTTTGTCTAGCTTTTTAAAAATCTTTTTGTTTATAAAGATGGACAGGGATCCACAAGAACCCAATATCATGTCAAATCCTGATCAGCGCTCTAACTATGACTTGGCATCTCAATTTGCAAATCCACAAGTTCATCACAACTCAGAATCTCATCCTGCTGGTTTTCACTTGAATTCAAGTAGTGGATTATATCCTTCTCATGTCGACCTACAATATGGAGCCACTCCTACGTTTCAAAGCCTGCTGAACACGCCAATGGTTAGAAATCCGATGGTAATCAATCAAGGCGGTGTTAACAATGCTAATTTTCCTATCTACACTCCGATGACCAGTTTTCAGACTCATGGTAACATTTCTTTGGGTGGTAGTCGAATTCCAGCTAACACTCCAATGGTTCCTTCTCAAATTTGTGGTAACACCACGGGCATCAATCAGAATCAAGTAACGACAAAAGGATTAAAAAAGAGAGTTAAAGATGTCCAAACGTCAAGTGGCAAAAAGGATTGGGGTGTAGAAGAAGAAGAAGCTTTGACGAATGCATGGTTGAATGTGTCTTTGGACCCTATTGTGGGTAACAATCAAAAAGCTACTGCCATGTGGGTTCGTATCCATCAAGTATGGAAGGAAAACATGGGGCCTGGATGCAAATATCTTAGATCGTCTAATAGTTTACAATGCCATTGGTCCATAATACATGCAGCGGTTAACAACTTTGCAGGACATTATTCGAAACTAGAGAGGCATCCTCAGAGTGGTACAAACTCAAAAGACTTGGTAAGTATACTATGTTACATTAAATAATTTTTTGGGTAAAATAATTTTCTTGTAACCTATCGTCAAATTTTCATATTTTATTTATCATGTTTATAGATTCACAAGGCGTTGGGTATGTACGAGGATATAGAAGGTAGCAAATTCAAATGGGTTCATTGCTGGGAAATAATGATTAAAAATCCAAAATGGCAGTCGAAACATGATAAGAACATTGCACCAGATAGACAAGCGGATGATGAAAACAAGTCGCCTACATCTGAAGAGTCTTTGCCGAATATCATTGATGATAACATAACACATGAAGGTAATAACTGTGATGGTGTGGTACGACCAACAGGAAGAAAAAAGAGTAAAGAAAAGAAGAGAAAGTTGCATGACCAAAATGGTGTGGTGGATGCATTAAGCACGTTGCAGTCCACTTTGGCCAAACAAATTAGTATCAATGAAAAATCTTTGGAGATGAGAAAGAAAATTGAAGAAGAAAATATCCAGTTGAAAAGGCAAGCACTAAACAGGGAGATGGAAATGAAGATGAAGGAACAAAGGAGGAAACGCCAGGAAAGGGTAATGAACCAAGATTTAACTAAGCTTACACCTCTGGCTAGAGCTTCATATGAAGCTATGCAAGCCAAGATTTTGAAAGAATGGGAAAAAGATGATATATTTGAAAGTGATATGGCAAACTCACAGGTATATACTATGTGCTTTTGATTAATTTTTTTTTTTTTAAAAAGTAAAATATGTCATGATAAATAATTTTTCTTTTTTCTTTTTTTTTATATATTCAGGACTTTGAGGCTTGAGGAGAAGACTTGGGCTAATTTTAAGTTCTGCAAGATTACCCTGTTGAACTAAATGCTAATATTTCCTTGATGTATATTAGTCCTTTTTATTAAAAAAAAAAAAAATATTGGACTACTTTGTTGTTACTTTTATTATGATATAAATGGACTATTTATCATAGCATGTCCATATAATATTTTTTACGTCATTTTAAAATTGTTGAAGTTTCAGTAGGAAAATAGGAATAAGTACTGACTTTTCTATCATATGAACTAATTATGAGGTATCTGATGACTAACTTTTCTATCACTAGATTAAATTCAGTTTTTAGTGTTGAATATGAATTACATGGTTTGACTTAGTTGAAGATTATGCAAAGTACATTAGCAGTTGCCATGCTGCTATTATTATATCTTGCTTTGGTAATTCATTTGTTTGTTTCCATCCAATGTTGGTATTAAAATGAAGATAGGGGGCTTGGGCTCTGGAAACTCGGAACACTAAGTGAATGAAAGCGAACAAAGTTGGAAAGGAATGGCGGACATAGCTTTTCTAACTCTTGCTTCAAATCATTGAATGCCCGTTAAATAGTCGATAGCAAGTTATGTGTTTTGGCCATTTATGAAATCGTGCATTTGTCTATGTGATTTAATCCAATTCATCAATTCTTGATGTTGAGTAACTCATCAGTTAGAAATCTGAGATTGTATTTCTGATACTTGGTGGTGTTCATTCGTTTATGTTAGTTATTAAAGTAAAATGTTTATTAGTTGAAGAAGCTGAAGTTACTAATGTATTCTTCGAACGTACTTGGTTAGTAGAGTTCAAATGTAACTGGAATTGAATGGATCCTATCATTTCTTTGAGCAAAGATTATTAATGATGGTTGTTATATTTCTCCACTGACATATTACTAACTGGTATGGTCAATTTACACTTGGAAATTTACTATACACCTGATTTGCAACTCAAACTGGATGTATATGAAACTAACAAAAAATAAAAAATTAATAATAACAGAAGATAGCAAAAATGATTCTATTGTTGTTAGCAGCAGCTCCAAGTTCTCATGGCACAACATTTTACTTAACTGATGAAAAGTTCTCATTATATTCCAATATGTCACATTAGTCAAGTGGCAACATCATTTGAAAAGTAGGATTTTAAACATATTCACAAGCCACAACACTTGCGGATAACAGACAACAACAATCTCAATAATTTTCTACCGCTTCTTAAAAAATAGCAATGACAAAAAACTATAACATTTGAGTTTATCACACTACCATAAACTGAAATAATATTTTCTAAAAATAGTAAAATAATCATTGAAGAAAATAAAATTATAAAAGTAAATTCATATTTTTAAGTTCAAGATACAACTATAATTCAACCAATTTGTTGACCACCATGTAAGTTCCATAAGTGGTCGATGAGATCATTCTTTAACTCCCTGTGCACTCTTTTGTTTTGTATCTCCTTCATTCTGCTAGTCATCCTTGACACGAGATAAGAAAAATCATGCTCTGGAATGACATTGTCATTTACTTCATGTCGCCTAATCTGTTCTGGCTGCCAACTTTCGGGATTCATGCCTTGGCTAGTTTCATTTTCAATAATCATGTTGTGTAAGATGATGCACGTCTTCATAATTTTCTCTAAATCTTTAGCATTCCACATACGTGCTGGCCCTTTAACTATATGCCACCGACTTTGCAAAACACCAAATGCTCGTTCTACGTCCTTTCGTGCAGCTTCTTGCCACTTGGCAAATAACTTCTCCTTCATTGAAGATGGACTAGAGATTGTCTGAATTAAAGTGGCATATTGTGGGTATATTCCATCTGATAAGTAATACCCCATATTGTAATGATGACCATTCACTACGAAGTCGCATGCCGGAGCTTTTTCGTTAATAAGATCATCAAACAATGGAGACCTATCTAAGACATTAATGTCATTATTAGTACCAGCCATTCCGAAAAATGCATGCCAAATCCATAAATTTTGTGAAGCCACAATCTCTAAAATAAGAGTCGGAACTTTTTTGAAACCATTAGTATGTGTTCCGTGCCAAGCCGTGGGACAATTTTTCCAATGCCAATGCATACAATCCAAACTACCAAGCATTCCTGGAAATCCACGCCTCTCTCCCTCTTCCAACAACCCCACAATATCTTTTCCGGTCGGTTTTCTTAAATACTGTTCTCCAAAGATACCAATTATAGCATCACAAAATCTTTTTAAGCTCTCAATTGCAGTGGTTTCTCCAATCTGAATATACTCATCGAGAGAATCAGCTGAGCAGCCATATGCAAGCATTCTTATTGATGCAAGCAATTTTTGTAAAGGAGTTAAACCAGGCTTCCCAACGGCATCAAACTTTAGTGTGAAATAATTGTCATAACTTTGAATTGCTTTTGAAATACATTCAAACAATTCGATGGTCATTCGAAAACGACGACGAAATTGGTCAGGAGTGTATTTCGAATTCTCGCCACTAAAGTAGTCTTTGACAATTACATCATGCCGTTTTCTATCACGATGTATATAGCATCTCTCACTCGTAGACCCACCATGAAGACCTTTTTCTTTGACTAACATCGTTGAAACTATTAAAGGGACATGGAGTAAACATGTTTGAACCAAATCCATATCTGTTTCTGTACCCAGAGTGTCATCTCCTGTAGGCTCATCCAACAATTTTTTAGTTAATGAAAGTTCGCAATCACTGCATGATGAACTATTGGAGTCTGAATCATAACAAAAATTTGCCATTTATTATTTGTTAACCTGTAGAAAATTAAAAAAGCCTCATAAAAGTTAATCACAATATTAATCTATAGAACATAACTAAAGTATTTATGTTAATCTTATAATAATCAAACATAATTGATCAAATCAAACTAACAGAATGAATATTACAGGCAACCAAATAAATAAATATTACACAATGATTTTATCATCAAAACATGAACACAGAACAAAGAATTATAAAAGTATGATAAAAGAACGAAAAAAATAAAATGGAAGGTGAGAGAATCACTTTAACCTATGCAACTCAATATTGAATAGAAGGTCTGAGTAACCAAGCCAAGCCGCCAATCTTGAAAATAGAAAACTGAGTAGATAGGCAAAGCCACCAAAGTTTCTCCGTAAACTTTTTTATTATTTGTTCATGTCTACATGGTTGTGTTTAGGAGATTAAATTTGGGCTTATTGAAAATTTAAGCCCAAAATTAAAAAAAAAAAAAGAAAAGAAAGAAATCTCAAAAGCCCATAATATTTAGGAGTTATCACATTGTACATTGTGGAACACGTAAAATTTTAGAAGTTGTGGACTCAACATCCATATGATGTGGATTCACATCACCTTTATTTAATTGACACATGGCAAAATTAATTTACCCACAACTTGGTACACTGGAGATGCTCTTAGGAGGAATAGGATGGTGAGTTAAGGAATTCGATTACTCTTAAAAATGACAAGACTTTCAAAACCGGAGTCATCCAATCCATTCAGCTACTGGTTCTAGGGGTGAGCAAAACTGAGGTGAAATCTAAAAACTGAACTTAAGATAGGATACTATATTGGGTCGAGTTGACCCGAGAAGCAAACTAACTAGACCACGTGCATCACTAGATCGATCGGAGGCCGAATGACAGAGAGGTCGAAAGTGACATCACCAGAATAGGGCAGCAGGTCGAGCTAAGGCCCTTTGAAGGCATGTGGGGAGTTTGATCTGAGAATATTGTAGGTCGATGGATCGACCTAGCGGGTAAAGTACAAGCTCACTGAAGACAACATTCTACCTCGAGATAAGCAAGATTAATAGCATGATTAGACCGTCTGATAAAGAAGACAAAGAGATAAGAAGGAATATTATGAGGATAAGAACCATACGTGGGTTAGACCACGTGGCCTAACAGAATTGGACAATTCAGGCACCCGGGCGACACAGACGGACAATCGGGTAGCTTATCTGGGCAGTCTTGGGCAACAAGACACCACCGCTATATAATGGGGTGAGGTATAACTATTCAAACTCTACACTCTTTACACTTACAGTAATCTACTGCTATTCATCATTTTTTCCACATTGTTTACTTAAGCTTCAGAGGCTCTACGCCGGAAACCCCTCCGGCATTAAGTTTTTATAGGTATTGAAGGTCATCCACCGGCGAGGAAGGTAGATCAACTAAAATCCAACAGGTCGAAGGTCTTTACATATCATTTGGTGCCATCTGAGGGAACTTTGTTCAAAAAGCCATCAAGCCCCATCATCCATGGCAAACGAAGATCGTAGGAAGAATCTTGAGCCCACGTTTGACGAGGCATGGGTTAGTTCACGTCCATGGGGCGCAGGGCCCCGACATCATTTTTCCACTAGTTCTCAGGCCCTAAGGACCTTGTTGCCCAACCTTCCGCGCCCGGGGTGCACCTCAGTTATCGCAGCCGCCACCGGAAACTCGGGCACCTAAGTCGCAATTGCAATCGGAGCAGAAGTTGCAATTGTAGTTGTAGAGCAGACGCGGCCTGCGGTCCCACAGGCGCAACCAGAGCAAGCGATGGTCCAGTTGATGGGGCCACCAAGGAGCGAGGATAAGCAAGGAGAGCGACAACTCGTTATGTTGTCTAAAGAGGAGAAGATGATCTCAGACGTAGTTGGAGTTAGAGCAGCCCAGCAGTTCACTCAAGAAGCATCTCATACGACCATTGTAGCAACTAATACAGTGGGCACAACCAGACAGGAGACGGAGGACGAGGAGTCGATGTTGTAGCAAATTATGATATTTACCGAGTACTGAATCAAAGGATTCGTTCCCCGTATGGATCTCTCGAGGAAGGTTAGCCGGATTATAATGTTTGATTATTCAACCACAAAAAGAGAAATAAAATTCCTAAACATTCGAATTTAGATGATTTGGTTTGATTATCAACTACGAAGAACTCAAACACGCAAATTGAAACTTAACAGCAAAGACAATGAACGAGCATGAATAAAGAAGCTAGGGAGACAGGGATATCCGATTTGGTTCGAAATGCAATTATCGGGCAAGTGATCTTTCGGTTAAGTGATTCAAATAACCTACTCGTTCAGAGATTCATTCTCAATAACTCTTCGTAACAAGAGAACAAACATGAACGGTAAATTAACGAGTCATTTAACACATAGGCAATACAATTACGAACAAGCCTATTTCATGCGAGCCTATATCGATCGACTCCTCCCCTTTCAGTTCTAAGAGTCGACTAAACTGGACTAGAAGGTGGTTAATCAACTAGTCTATTAGGATTGAAAACAACACACGAGAATAAATCATATTCAATTGTGAACCAATCGTAAATTGAAGTGTCACTCTTCAATAATAATCAACATTCAAGCATGAAGTTCAAGAACCCTAGTTTCAAATTAACTCGCATAAATTGAACGATTCAACAAGCGTGATAATCACAAACAAATTCAAAACATCATCCCCAATCCCTAGCGAATCGGATTACTTACTTATATGGAATTCAACAAGAACATTCACAACAATCCAAGCATTCATATCCATAGGTCAGATGAAAAGGAAAACTTACAATTGATAAAGAAATAGAATGTTGAATGCCAAGTACAAGCTTAATCCGAAAAATAGAGAAGAAATAAAGATGAAATCCTAAGTGTAAGATGGTGTTCTAGGGTAGAAATATGGAAAAAAACAAGTTTGGGAATGATCCCTCAGGTCTGGGGGTTCATTTCAATATGTAGGACTCGAAAAACCGAGCAAAAATGAGAAAATCGAAAAAAAATAATTTCTGGCCGCACACAGGCCCTAGCGGAGCTAAGGCGGGTGGCCTGGGAGCCTCTGGGGTCGCTAGGGTGCTTTAGAGGCGCCAACAGGGCGCCTGGGAGCTGGCTTGGGCAGCTTTGCGCGACTTTGCATTTCGGGCTCGTTTGAGCTCGTCCGAACTCGGAATTGAGTGCCGTTTTTTCCTACGCGTCACCTACGAACCCTTCTAGTCAATTATGATTTCCCATCAAATATTTTCCTAAAATCCTATTCTCCCAAAGCTTATGACCTGACACAAAAAAAGTGCTTCGCGCGACTTCGCGTTTTGGGCTCGTTTGAGTTCATTTGAACTCAGAATTGAGTTCCGCTTCTTCCTACTTGTCATCAACGAGCTCTTCTGGCTAATTATGCTTGCACGAAAAACTTATTCTTGCAATCCTATCCACCCGAAGCTTCAGACCTGCACACCAGAAACGAGAACAAAAAAGGAGAAAATCAGAAAACGAAAGAAAAACACGGAAAAACTCAAAATGAAGGAAAACACGCAATAAACTACAAAACAACTAAAAACCAAAGAAACGACCAAAAACGGGTAAAAATAAAGACAAAATGACACCGAAAAACACAACAAAAATGGGACAAACAACTCCCCCACACTTAAACCTTTGTTCGTCCTGAACAAGCAAGCAAATGAGCATGGACAATAATTTCAGACAAGACAAGTCTCAAATTAATCAACTTAGCCGGGGAGACTTCCATTGACCAATATAGCATACCTCAATTACAACTCTCAAATACGGTAATATAATATATATGTCTCCCTCAGTTTCTTATATGAATATGAAATGGTACGCTCAAATTGGTCGATCATCATACTTCAACATAAGCTTTCCTATTGTCTATTCATACTCGAAAATAATCAAATTCATGCAATAGTGAATCAAGAGGACTTCTAGGAATGTAACGTAGGCTCTTTTGATTGGGTAGGATAATATAGGTTAAGTGGCTCAATAAAAATATCAACTCAATTCAATCACCTAACCGTGATCATGAACTCATCCGGTTGACAACACCAACCGTTTCCTCCAACATCCTCAAAAGCCAACACGCTACCCACATTATTCATCTCTTTTTTATTTTTTTATTTATTTTTTTTTTTTTTTTTAACACTGACATAAATCACATATATATACAAAACCAACACAAATCACCTCCAATTCTTCACTTGCAACTCCACAATATCATCATCACGGGGTTATTAGTACCAAAAAAAATCAATCAGGCTCGAAGGGGGTGACCAGTGAATGTTATTTCCACAAAAAGAAAAAGGGAATGAAAGTACAAAGAATGCCTCAATCATTTTCACATTACACAAATTCGATTGCTTCATTTCAAAACAGACTCAAAGACAGTTCTGATCACCAAAGATTCCGACCAATATCTCTCGAGAAACAACATAAGGCTCAAACCTCACATAAGGTAAATAAATGTCCAACAAAACGACATATCAAGTTCATCAAAATATACTGGTCATGATCATCATCACATCTCCTCAACATCATCAACAATGATCATCAACTAATCTTAAAATTCACCATAATCCATACTCGCAAAACACACAAACTGACTCACGATAAGACACTCAAACAAAAACAAAAGATGAAAACAACTTTAAAGAGCTAGATCTGGTCAACCATATAGACATATAATCATGTAAAAACTCCCCCACACTTAAAACCGAACAATGTCCCCATTGTCGATCATCATTGCAAAGAAAGTTTACCCATATAATCAACCAACACAAAAGCAGAAAAACTAACCGACAATGAAAATAAAGAGAAAGGAAAAGTACAGACGTACAGGGTACAGTGACTAGACGAGTCACTGTGAATCCGGTGGTGCAGGTGGAGGGTGGAGGTAGTTAGGTCCCGAACAGCGGCGGGCCTCTGTCAACTCAAATCTCTCACCCCCATTCTGATCGGGGCAGCTCTTTCGAAGTCGGCTAGGGAGGGGCAGTGTGGCGGTCTATGTGGCATCCCTTCGCGACATGGGCATGGCCCTGCAGTGGCGTCTTCGTGTACTCTCTCATACACGCTTCGTCAATAATCTTCTCGATTGCCCTAATGGACATGCATTCTTCCACAAAATTTACCTGCGGCTCAGGATGGGTCTCTCGAATGGAAATGGCGATGGACTCGCCCAAAACCGTCATGTTAAGCGTCCCGCTCTTGACGTCAATCATCGTGTTCGTGGTCGCCATGAACAGTTGTCCGAGGATAATGGTGTGCCCCTTCCCATTTTCTTGCACTTCTCCCACATCTAGCACGACGAAGTCTACAGACACAATCAGCCTCCCAACTCGAACAAGTACATCCTCCACAATTCCTTCGGGTCGACGGAGCGAGCGGTCGGCAAGCGTAGGTGCGTCCTATAAGGCTTCAATTCGTCGAGCCCAAGTTGCCGATAAATAGAAAGAGGCATGAGATTTATGCCCGCTACAAGGTCGAGCATTCCCGAGGCCTCTTTCTCACTCCCAAAGGCTATATTAATCATAAATCCCCTGGGATCTTTTTCTTTCCTTGGCAAGTCATGCTGAAAGAGACTTGCCGCCTAGCATATCAACACGTCATCGCTACTCTCGAGTCGCTTCTTCTTAATTGCTAATTCCTTAAGAAGTCATGCATAACCCGGTATCATCTTCATCACATCAACAGGCGGTAAGTCGCCATTCGCCTTCTTCAACATCACGTAGAGGTCCCGCATCATTTGATGGTCCTTCTCCTCCAAGAGTCGGCTCGGAAAGGGAATCCTCGGCCTGTATGGATTAGGGGACTTGTGCAAGGCCGGCTCGATAGGTGGTGTCATTGGGGTTTTTTCTTTTTGTTCTAACATCCGCTGGCCTTTTTTTTCCTTCCTTCGCTTCTCGGCTTACTACCGGTTCCTCGAGGTCGGGCATAATCACAGTCACCGCATTCACATGCTCCGGCTGACTCGGCAGCTTCCTTTTGTTCAGCTCGGCCTCGATGCTTTCAACCCGTGTGGCCAACTGTCCCACTTGCGTCTCAAGGCGCTTAATAAAAGCCTCGTTATTAATGGTCCGCTGCTGGTTGTCGGCCAAAAACTGGAGGATCTTATCTAGCTTGTCATCCGTGCTGGCGGGCTCGGTCCAGCTCCTTATGTGGGCATCCCCATCATTTGTCCCCTTTGTTGCTGCTGACGGGGGACAAAGGTGGGCTGAGAAGGTTTATGAGAGTTGTTGTTGGTCCAGGGTCGGCTGATCCGTTTTAGATTTAAAAAATTTTTATAGGGTCTTTTCCTTCTATGTCGCAGGGTTAAAACCAAAAAAGATTTGTTTTTTTCTAGATGTTTTCTGACGTTTTCGATAAAACCTTCTCGGAAAAGTATTTTAACAATATTTTCTGTAATATTAGTAAATGCTATGCGAACAACTCTTTTTCTATCCATATCAGCATTTTGTATAGAGGTTATTATCTAAGCAATAGTGTCTCTACCCATGATAAACGAGAACATATTCGAAGAAATTCTGACCCCCGGTCGAAATGCTTTGTGAGTTCCGAACAACTATAGTAGCTGAACTTAATAAAATAGCAACTACAACCCAAGAGGTAATAAGTACTTGGTCGTGGACTTGGTAACCCCCTATTGGCAGCCGATTTGCTTGTTGAGACCTAATTCTATCTTCTTAGATTTCTCAAGATACTTTCTTACGAAGTTTTGTTATAGCATCTATAACTGGTTTCGGTTTAGGGGGACAACCTGGCAAATAGACATCCACAGTAGCTTATCGACTCCCCGAATAGTACTATAATAATCGGTACTGAACATCCCTCCTATAATTGTACAGTTAGATTCAAATGGATCCGCCGCCGGATACCTAAGATGGAAAATTGGCAGATCTATATCCCTAATGGATCATAGGGATCCTATGAAGAGTAAGATACTTAATAGGCGGGGTAGGGTGGTCAGGTTAGGATCAGTCTAAACCCGCCTATTAAGTATCTGAAAACATGCCAACTATTAAACAACTTCTTATAAATCCAAGACAGCCAATTCGAAATCTCAAGAAATCCCCCGCCCTTGGGGAATGTCACAGCGCCGAGGAACATGTACTAGGGTGTATGTGCGACTCTTTACTAATTTAGTCTAGTCTATCTTTTTTTCTTTAGATCCCTTGTTGCACTCCGATAGTATTATCGATCATATCAATGCAGAGGAAATGAATGCATTTCCATACTATTTAGTTTGACGTATAAGTAAGTAATTAAGTAAGGAAAATAGATCAAGATTCTCTTTTATTTTATCTATTTCACTTACTTATACTAGATCTTACGGAGCCTGCTCGTGTACAAAGACGATTCGGATCTGATCACTTAGTTTTCGACTTTTTGGAAATATCTTAGCGGATGAATTAGTAGTTGTTGTTCTTGTTTCTTTACTACGTTTAGTAGTTCCTATCCCTGTCATGTTCCTTGGATTATTTACAAGTGGTATTCAAGCTCTTATTTTTGCAACTTTGAGAAGTTCGGGTGGTTTCGCCACCCGGGGTTGTATGTGTTCGAGTAGAGATCGTTTCTAGGCCGGTTCTTATAGCCTTGCATTGCGTTTACCTCGGTATTCTGTCCTCCGTAACTCGACTCGATAGTCGTCGGGCACACCTCGGATCCGTGACCCTAGACTCCGCACGCGCCGCACACATTTACGGCCATGGTCTGAACTGGTGAAACTCCTCTTGCTTTTAGTAGCCTCATCTGCTCCGTGAGCTAGGCTAACTGCTGTGCCATCACACTGTTGCTCGGTCCAACCTCATTCACGGCTGCCTTCTTCCCTCAGACACTCTTAAATTATATTTATCTTTATAACAATAATAATTTTTTTAATATTAATTAGAAAAATAAAATTATTTATCAATTAATATATTATAAACGAAAGGTAATTCATTAGAAACATCTTTTTTTATTATTAATAAAGGGCTCGAGTTATTATGTTAAATATGTATTGAAAAGAGTGGTTTCGTGGGTTAAATCGTACGACCTCTCTTTAAAAGTGGGATCATGTACAATCTTGTCGATAATAGGCTGTTTAAACATTTATAATAAATTATTATATTTATTGACTTTAAATCCACCTTGTTCTTGCATCTTGTAGGTATACAAATAATGGATAAAGAAAATGCAAAACTTATTTTTTATCATTTTTACATATATAATATATCGAATTAATCATCTCTTGATGAGTTTCGATTTAACATCCATATTGTATGTATAAAAAAAAATTATATTTATCTTTATAACAGTAATAATTTTTTTAATATTAATTAAAAAAATAAAATTATTTATCAATTAGTATATTTATAAACAAAAGGTAATTCATTAGAAACATCTTTTTTTTTTATTATTAATAAAGGGCTAAAGCTATTATGTTAAATATGTATTAAAAAGAGTGGTTTCGGGGGTTAAACTGTACGACCTCTCTTTAAAAGTGGGACCATATACAATCTTGTCGATAACCGACTGTTTAAACATTTATAATAAATTATTATATTTATTGACTTTAAATCCACCTTGTTCTTGCATCTTGTAGGCATTCAAATAATGGATAAAGAAAATGCAAAACTTATTAGACACATTAGAATGGAGAAAATGAAAGAAAAACGTGGACTATCTCCTGCAGGCATTGAAACTATTGTTTTGGGTGAGTATATTTTATGGAACTTACTTTTAAATTTTGTATTATATATAATATATGCAACTTACATAATTATAAATTAATTATTAGATTAAAGGATAATATTTTATTTATGTAAAATGCAAAGAGTATATGTTTCTTTGATTTTTTTTTATATATTCGATGCCAGACACTCCATCCAGTCAAGCAAGAAAGTTCAGAAAGTCCTTTATTGATGCAAGGCGACAAAACGGCATTTAGTGTACACAACTGATTTTTTAAATGCAATAAAATGCTCAGGAGTTTCTAATCACATATTAAAATTGCAAGTTGGTATACCTGTAATGCTGCTTCGAAACATGGATCAATCTTCTGGATTGTGTAATGGCACCAGGTGAGTGATCACTCGACCATTCTTTTATTTTTTTTGGCATTTATACATTCCTAAATCTTAACTAATTTATTATCTATCATTATTGTAATATTTTTACCTTTTAATTAGAAAGAAAAAATGATAACTTTAATAAATAATCATTATTTATTTTATGGGTTGTGTAATGACATCAAGTTAGTCATCACTCGACTTGGAGATCGCATTGTTGAGGCTACGGTTCTATCGAAAAGGAATATTGGGAGCAGAGTACTTATTCCGCGGATGTTATTGACTCCTTTTGATGTGAGATTGCCTTTCAAGTTTCAACAAAGACAATTCCCACTTATGGTTTGTTTTGTAATGACTATTAATAAGAGTCAAGGACAGACATTGTCTAACGTCGGATTGTACTTTCCTAATCATGTATTCAGTCATGGTCAACTTTATGTTGCATTATCTAGAGTTAAAAGTAGGAGAGGCTTGAAAATTCTGTGTTGCGATAAAGATGGAAAAATTGTAAATAAATCTATTAATGTAGTGTACAAAGAAATTTTTCAAAATTTGAAATAACATCGACTTTGGTATTTTTATTTTTGCACTTTTATACGACAACATGTGCCTTTTCTATTATTTTATGTTTTATATTTTTTTTAAACAACCCGTGTAGTACATAGGTGTCGTACTAGTAATTAGGTTTATTTTCAAAACATAAACGTTGTGAATATTATAATATTTATTACAAATTTAATGATGTAAACACAAACAAATGAAAAATAAAACTTAATAAAAAAAGTTCAAAACTTTAGGCGAGAAAAATTTTCTTTTGTAATAAATGAATAGCCTACAATTATATATATAGATTTTATACTTACTCAAATATAAGTTTGAACCTCTTCACAATTCTGAAAGACAAACCATTGTTTTGTGTTAAACTCTTCCTCTAATATTGCAACAAGTTTTGTTGCTCCAAAGTGACGACATTTTGTAGAAAAGATTGATGTCTACCATCAACTTCTATATCACAATTTTTATCATCTCAGTTAGATCCAGTCTCAATTCCCTGCAAGTACATGGAGCAAAAAGTTAAATACTCATTTGCAATGTATGTTTCTGCAGTGGATCCTTTCGGATGAGCTTTATTGGTTACACCTTGCTTCAAGGCGCATAAGAATCTACCAAAAATAAAATATTATTATTAAAAATATTCACAAGAATAAGTTATAAATAAGAAGATCATAGTTTAATATGAATTACCGTTAAATTGGAAACATCGATCTATATTGAACCGGGCCATCTATCAATGCCTCATTCGACAAATGGATGGAAAAATAAACCATGAGGTCAATGAATGCAAGAAGATATATCTTCTATAGTTTACACAATATCAAACAAATATTTTTTCCCAGTTTGTCCAATTCATTTTTTCTTTAATTTTCTACAACATATACATTGAAAGAAATTTTTTAACTCAACCAATGCCTCGCATACTTCTTTATTTAAGGACCCATGAATCCCAACAAAAGTTATTCGTTTTAAAAGAATATGGCAATCGTGACTCTAATCCAGATATCATTTGGTCACTACAACTTACACTACGAGAGATGTTGCAGCCATCAGGAAATTAGACGGGCTTTAGGAATTTGCACAAGTCATGTCTTTCTTTTCCTTTTTTCTTCATTACATAACAAGCAACAGACATCACATGTTTTCCATTACCTACTTTGATCAAGTGCAACTCTTTGCAAATTTTCATGTCCTCCAAATCTTGCCTGACATGAAGTGTATCTTTTATTTCCCTTCTACACTATGATACTCTCGCATATATTTTCTCAACATGAATTACATCTAAATTGTTCCTTAATTTTAACTTACTCCATTGCGGCAAAGTAAAGAAAATGCTACGTTTAGCCTAATTTAACTCTTGGGGTTGTTTGCTTTATTTATTTATTTATTTTATTTTATTTTTGTTGAGATTGGTTCACCATGATAAAACTACGTGAAGTACTCTTGATCTATCTCAAGCATCATAATGGGACTTTTAACAATCTTTTTATCTTTAATAGATAAGTTCAAGCAGTCTGTATATAGACACCGGCTTTTGCATTGCTTGCCCAAATGATCTTCTAAAAATCTCATAAAAGTGTTTACCCCATCTATATAAGCTTTTGACCATTTGATAGCCTGCATCCACACTCTTATCCATTCTCTGTTCCATCATATAAACAACAAAAATATCAACCATCCATTTAAACTTGCATCACCAAAAAACTCATTTGCTTTGACATATGAATTTACAGTAGACCAAGATAATTAAAATGCTATAAACTTTTGTTATGTTCTTTTTCAAAAGTTACATAGGAGCATAAGAATCCCATAGAACGAAACCTAAATGCCACACAATACATATTAAAATTGCAAATTGCAGTTGACAGGAATATAATTCTATTAATAGAGATCAATTAAGAAAATAAAGTCATGTCATTCAACAAGAAAAACTTAAACGAAAACACTAAAGAAAAAACATTATTAAACAACCTACTTCACTATTTAAGTACTTTTGAATTCATTTGAATGGAGATGACTCAAACCTATTTATCCAACTTTAATTTAATATGTGGTAGACATTAGCTTTTTTGGAAGCAAAAAATTGACGACTCTACAGAGCTTAAGTCAGACTAAAAGGGAAAAAATTGATTCTAAGCTCAAGCAATTTTCCCATGAAATTCTAAAGTCAGACTAAACAAACAAGAGCTTAATCTCAAGAAGTTTGAGGAATAACTAAAACGGAATGGCACGGAAATAATCAAATTATATTTGGAAAAGTTAAAAAAAATGAAAAAAAAAAACAATAAATTACCAGAGCTAATGAAAATTTAGAATTTACAATGTAGAATCAGTCCGTAAAGCAAAACACAAAGCAAATCATATTAGTTTATATTAAAGCAAATATATCACAACACATGCAAACTTAGTGCCTCAAAATTCAAACCAAAAGCTTTATACAGAGACCTAATAGGCCTGATTTGGATAAAAATAACTAGCATAATCCCAGCATATAACAATTTAAAATGTTTTGATTTTTGGATTAAAATAACTGGCATAACTCCAACATATGACAATTTAAAATTTTATGCTTTTTACGGAACTCTTGAATCATAGACTTATGTAATGAAAGAATTCTGAAGAGAGAGAGTGTGATGCTATCTTGATAGTTCATTTCTGATTAGCTTTTGCAAATTTTATTAACTGAGATTATTTGTAAAAATGCATTTTTACTTCCTCAAATTTTAATTTACATACATATCAGCACCCGATATAGTGTATTCGTTTGTTCGAACAAGTAAGATGGTATTGAAAATGACTAGTACGTAGTATTAAATTATTTTGGAAAAGAAATTAAAACATTCAGCGCGCCAACACTTTTTCTGCTTTTGTAGACGCAACCATTCGTGATATGAAAATGAAATAAGAAAAAGAAAATCCAATAGATAGACCATGAGATAGTCAATTGATATGTTTGAGAACACGCCTTGTGTGGACTCCAAACTCCAGAAAAGCTGATTTTCTTCTATATCTGCTTAACAACAATTGAAATCGTCACTCTACGCTGACAGTTAGTCGACCATGTCAACTTCCCAAATTCATAATCTTTGCTACCACCATATTTTTTAGGCTGTATTGTAATGTTGAATCCTTTCTCCTCCCCAACCAAATTAAATTCCAGCTTATCCGGCTCAATTTTTACTGATATTCCATCTGGGTACAAACAGAGGCTTTGTAAGTGCCCGATGGACCTACATTTTTTACCTTCCTTGTCACGGTGACTGGGCCCTTGTGGAATGGAACTGTGATCGAGGGGTAGTTGAAGTCGATGAGTCTAATATTTGGCTTGGGACAAGTGAATGATTTGTTTCAGAATAACTTAATCTGCGTTTGTTTATAACCAAGTGCGCATAACAAGTTGAGGTAATCTAATGTTCCTACATCGTTAACGAGTCCAGGGTCCATTGCCCGGTTCGGCTCAATGTGTCCTCCTCCATAATTGAACAGCGTAGCTGTCGAGTTGCTGTTGTTGGTGATTGGTTTCTAAGTGTTNGTGTTGTCGAGTGTACTTGCTGAAAAAAAAAATAAAAAAAATAAAAAGAAAACGATACATAACAAATTATTATTCTTGTGATTTCTTTTGAATTATTCATAGGCATCCATGTTTGTGCACTGATGATTCGTGACTTAATTAATGTAGGTAAAATCACCAGTGGTCATGATGGCAGACTTAATGGCAGCCGGGCTCCATTTTGGGTAGAGCTTCTTCAAGAGGCCGAGGACCCCAGCAACGTGTGGGCAAGACATTGAAGTACCCGACATAGAATTGAACTGCACACGTCGGGTGTCATAGTCTTGGCCTGTCGGTCCCACTAATTCGGTGAACGCGGCTATGATACTAACTCCTGGGTCGTGATATCCGGCTGAGAACAAGAAATTGTAATTAAGACATAAAATATAACTAAATTAATTAAACAAGAATTTACAAGGTTCAGTATTACTCAAAACCTTGAGAATTTCCGGCATAACGGGATTTGGCCCTTGAGATGAAAAAGCTGCCATTATTGGCGCTGGCTTTGCGTCTAAACCAGTTATTGGTTTGGTGATACGAGCCATGGGAGACCTGCTTTGCCATCATATTTTAAACAATGTCATTTTACGGAATCTGGTGGTGAAATATAGCTATATATATGTGATTTTGTTCACCTTGTTTTATGCATTTGATATAAGAGAACAAGACAATCTTTGTAACTGATATGTGTAGCTGGGGCAAGACATGAGCATCGGCTATGATCTCATTCCCAGAGGCCTCATTGTTTGGTAAAACCATTCCATTTTTTGCCATTGTGGTCTTCAGAAAAGTTGTAGAAATTTGAGTTATCTATCATGTGGTTTTTGAATTTCATTGACATCATGCTTGTAGCTCCAGTTAGATAGTAATTACTAAAGTCTGGTCAAGTCTATTTTCCCAATTTTGGACTGTGACTCAATTTTGGATGTTTGCTGATTTATCACCTATTAGATGGCCTTATTTGCTTTCAGTGTCTTATAAGAATTGTAGATTCATGTCTCAGGATTTCAATGCAACTTGATTCATGTTCTTATGAGTTGTGTGCTGGAAGTTATGTCGGTTTTAAAAACGCTGCCCGGGTCAAGTTTTCAAAACTTATGTGATATTTTCGGAAATGTGATTCCCTTGATTTAATGCATGCTTAAATGCTTACGTGAACTTAGCTGGACTAAGTAATTGTATAATGGTACTTGATAAGGCTATTTTAATAAATGTAGGTGCTTGACGAGTCAACCTCGCCGCCTACCCTTATTTTGTGTTTATCTCGATTGCTACCAGATTGGTTCATTTATGTTGAATCTATATTTATCGCACTCGTTATCTCGTATAAATGTTTGTCGCAATAGCTTTTGTATGCGTGAGAATCCTAGTCTAAGTGTCCCGACGGTAGTGCCTTTGACGAATGCATAATCAGTGGAAGTCACCTGCCCGTTGCATCTGGGAGGTGGACGCCCGAATCCGTGTAGAGCGGAGGGGATTGTTTGGACGACTGAATCCGTATACAGCGGAGGGGTAATTCATCTTCACTGTCTCCTGGATAATATCCTATGCCCGTTGCATAGGGTGGGAGTGCTTCCAGTTACGTCCTTGTCGATGTCTGGTCGAAAGGTTTGTTATATGTACATAGGAGGTTTGCGATAGGGCCTAATAGGAGAGTTAGATCTGGATTCTATGCATACATTATTTATAGTTATGGATCTTTATGCGAAATATACTGTGCGGTAATGGTGAGTATGATGGTTGTACTCACCCCCATTTATTTTTTTCTGTCCTCTTGTTCCTCTTCATATCCTTTTAGGTTGAGCATGGTTGGCGGCGACAGCGAGGGACAATCGAGTGGTGGTCGTTGGATTGTGTGTTACTTTCTTCCGCTTTTCTTTATATTATCTTGATATACCATTTGTTTAACTTTGAATTCATGCTTCCGCTTTAATTATTTCAAACATGTTGGAATATTTAATTATGCATGACTGGGTTTGAGGATTATGAATAAATTAGATTTTGTTTGAACTGTTGGATTTTATCTGTGTAAATGTTTATTTGTTTTAGTTGTTTAAGTAGCGCCCATTAAATATTAAAGTTTTAAATTTGGATTTCGCGAAAAATAAACTCTGATTTTTATAAATAAATTCGGTAAATCCTTTAAAATAAAACGGGGCGTTACAGTATGGTATTAGAGCTAGTCTGCGGTTCTGTAGACTATCTCTAGTGTTGGTGTGTTTAATGATCCTTCAACCACTCGCTTTCGTCTCGCCGCGCCAGCTCGAGGTATGAGTTTTATTGTCTTATTTATTTTATATGGGGCATAGGACTATCCACCTTTATTATAATTTGAATTCTAGTGTTTGGTGATGACCCTAGAAATTTTCTCTCTATAAGTTTCAAGCTAGCACCTTGTGCGAGCTATCTCGTCGATAGATGAGATTAGCGTTTATGCACCATAGCTTTCTGGTGACCAACGTCAGGATGCCTCATCGAGATTAGACAACCGAGAGATTCCGAATGTACGGGAGCGTTCGAACGTCTGGGGCAGTTGACAAGTGGACTAGAGGAGGCATGGTGGAATCCAATCATTGGAGTATGAGGATTGGAACTTAGTGCTTCGAATGTGTTGTCATTCGAAGCCAGAGTTTTAATGATCGATTAGGTATTACTAATGTGATTCTCGAAGATGGAGAAATCTCGAGGAAAGTGATGGCTACTTTTTATTGCATGGATTATAAACGTCGACCGCGAAGGCTGACAGTTTGGCGGAATGACTCCGTAAACTCAAGTGGATCTAGAGTACTATATACGCAGAGTCCTACCTCGACTATTTTGTTATCGTTCGTTATGCCGACTACTGGCATTGAGGCCAGAAGAGGATCGTGCCGTTTCATTTCAGGTGCGAATGAAAGAAATTGGTGACCTACGCCAGAGAGGATCAACGGTGGACGAATGTGGCTGAATCCTCACGTGGATGAACTCTTCTGCTCGACATTTGGTTACAGAGGGAGAATCCCGTGAGTATGCTCTCACTTAGGACGAGGATGAACTGAGCAAGGAGTGGACAACTGACCAGGAAATCGAGATCGTGTGTTGTCTATTAATCTTTCGGTTTTCCGTGTTTTATCTTTCAAACTGTTGTGCAATTCTTGTATTTGATACTTGGAACTAACATTGTTTAGAGACTTTTTGTATGAAGAAGGATAAGCATATTTGTTTTTTGCTAAACCTTATTTATTGCAAGGTATGTGATTTTTGTTTGCGATAACTCCGAGTCCGTGCACTCGAGAACGCAAAGGTCGGCGCAAGCCACTATGGTATCTTGACCTGAAGGCCAGCGACGGTCATTTATCTCGTTGGGGTTAAATCGTATGACGCATCGGAAACAGTTTTCTCCGATCGGAAGTCTTCGACTAATTCAAGGAAGGTGTCTTACCTTAAAGGATATGAAGGATCTTTTAAGGAGGGTAGTCGAGCCTAGAGCATGTGCATTGTGAAGCGTAGAGCCGCTTGTATTTTCGAACTTGCGTTTTGTTGTAAACTTTGACAAGTTTTCGTTCTGTTATTTCTTTTGGGCCTCGGGAAAAGTCTTTTACTTCCGTGGACTTTTGCAAAACCTTTGAAAACCATTGTCCTTGTTTTCTTGTTCGCTTGGAGTTTGGAGATCAAGTTTTACAACCTGATGTACCCATTTAAGACGAGTGTTTCCAGCTTTCTACTTGTCTTATATCATTCTTTTAGTTGGGTTTGGAATTCCATTCATCCGAACCAATATATTTTGATTGTTATCGAGGACGACTTGGACCATTTCTGAGATGCACCAATCATCTGAGGGCACCTAGGAGTAGTCCGGAGGAACAACAAAGAAGGCCACCAGACGAGCAAGGCAAGTTACAACCAACCTGAACAAAGGAGGAGCCGATCTGTTTCATGGCAAAGAATGCTGCACATCGACAACCGTAAACCTAACCGATAAAGGATGATCAACTACTATCACGAGATGAAGACCTGTTCAATCGACTGAGGGCAACTGCAAAATCGTTAAAAATCGATTCAGGGCTGATGTACCGTCAACCGAAGATTGAGGAGTGGACGTATCAAAACAGACTCTGAAACCCGAGGAGAATGTCTGCAATCGAATAGTGATTCTTTTGTGTAACTACTGCAATGACGATTGCCACGAAATGTCTGATTGTAATTCTGCAGCAACGTCATTGTCTATCTCTAAGGACGTCGAGACATAGTGGAAATACCCGAAGATGTGATCGAGGTCTTTTCAATGAAAGAAACCTCTCGCCTAGACCTTGAGGTGTGAACTCTAGGCAATGCAGATGAGTGGAGCTCGTTCAGGACTGGTGGCACGATTAGCTACCGTGGAAAGAGCTGACGTGACGGCCGACGCTTTTTATCAGAAGAGCCGACGTGAGCTAGCTAGTTGGTGTCTCAGACAGAGAGCCACTGACCTAGTACCATTCTCGACTGGAGAGCCGCATTAGATGTCCTTTGAGGATTTTTGCCTATCTCTAGGGCTCGGTCTGTTTGCGTGTTAGAGTGTGTTGCTGGAATAAGGTAGTGGACTTGGAACTTGGTTTTGTATCCTATTATTTTTGGAGACCTTGAAACTTTTGAACTCGTGAAAAACCAAAAAGCTTGTTTGGAATGAACTCCATTTGTACACATTTTGTGGAAAACCCTTCTCTTGTTATTGTCTTAACCTATGTGAAATCCCAAGTCAGATAATTTTTCGCATTAAGAAAAACCATGGATTAAATTTTCTTGTCAAAACCTTGAACCGAAAGCCGACCCTGACTGGGCGTTGCCACGAAGTGGTGGTCAAGCTTGTATGCCCGTGCTGATAGACGATAGGCTTGCACGCGGCCGATCGTTGACTCACACGCAAGCTGCAGCTGCCATCACCGGACACACAGAACTCCCACGCCAGCGTGATCGGCCAAACCTTGACTTTGCAGCTGGTCTCTGAACAGGTTCACATGAGCGTCCTGGCGCCCCGCATATGCAGCGCCTGCGAGCGTGTTGCCTCTCGGAGGACAATGCATTAAAAATTTCAACCGTCCATTTCATTTTTCTTCTAGACGGTTTGACCACCGAGAGTTCCAAGTTCCACCGAACCGCGTTTGCATCCTTGATCGAGGGTTTTGATAAGGAAGCATAATCGATAGGTTTTCTATGCCTATGCGAGGATTTTCTCGAGATGGCAAAATAGAGGACTTGTGTTGCCACCAAACGGAGCCATGGAGGACTACGTTTGTGTCGTAGAATCGTGTGTTGTAAGTATTAGTATAGAGGGGTTATAATGCGTGCATGGTTGCACAGTTTCCGTGACAATCGCTTCGGCAAGAAGTCACGGGTGTGTCGAGATTTTGGGTAAGTTTTCGGCGTGACCCGGTGTAATAGCCCAGTTCTGTATTAATAAAAAACGACAGTTTTTAGTTCCCAGTTGAACTATTTCTTTTTATTAATACTGCTCGTCTTGAGTTCCGAGCCCAGTTATCAGCTATTCAATCTCAGTTATTAATTCCGATCCATTTACCTTATCAATGGATTTGATTCAGTCGGAA